CTATACGCCTCATACTTGTAATTCCGAGAGTCCATGTTTCCACTCCGTATAGCAATATGGAATAAATAAACGTTTTTACAAATTGGTATCGGATGTCCAACGATAACGTAGAGTTTATTAGAAATTTTTTCATTCGCTGAAATGCGGACCTAGCATATTCTATACGAGCACGTATTTCGACCTCGTGGTCAAGATCGTTTGTTATCCAGCAACCAAGATACTGGAATCTTTGTACTGGTTCTATATGTTTGTTATAGATACGAATATTAATGTCGACATTTGGTGCACGTGTAACAGCCATCACTTTTGTTTTATTTGTGTTTATATTTAGTCCCAAGCTATCTCCCTCTCTGGTTATGACATTCAAAAGTCGTTGTAAACCCTCAGCACTGTCCGCAATAATGACGGTGTCGTCTGCGTATCTTAAGTTGTTTACGTATTCTCCGTTGATTTTTATTCCTTCTTCAATATTTTCGAGGGCATTTTGAAAGATCTTTTCGGAATATATATTAAATAACAGTGGAGAAAGTACACAGCCCTGACGAACTCCTCTTTTTATTGGCAATTCTGCTGTCAGACGATTGTCTATTTTGATAGATGCCATTTGATCCCAATATAGTTTTTTAATAAGTGCTACAGTGTTATGGTCTATACCATGTTGTGTTAGGGTTTCTATGAGTTCTGTGTGTTTAACTCGATCAAACGCTTTTTCGTAGTCGATAAAACAGAGAAAGACGTCTTTTCGCTGATCTCGGCATTTTTGTAGTAATACCTGGAGGCCAAATAATGCCTCCCTTGTACCAAGCCCCATACGAAATCCAAATTGATTGTCGCTAAGGTTTCTTTCGCATTCTCTGTATATTCGTTGATGTACAATTTTGAGTAAAATTTTCAGAAAATGGCTCATCAGGCTAATTAATCTGAACTGTGAGCATCTATTTGCTTTATTTTTCTTGGGTATAGGTATAAATGTCGATCTAAGCCAGTCTTCTGGGAAGATTCCAGTGGTATATATTTTGTTAAATAATATTGTTAATGTCTGAAGATTTTCTTCATTGATGAGCTTTATCATCTCTACGTATATTTCATCTGGACCTGAGGCTTTTCGTGACTTTGCCGTATTGATTGTTTTTGTAACTTCAGATGTTAATATATCAAGTATTGTTTCTTGTACTATATTCATTTGTGGTTCTGTTCTCTCGTCATCAAACAGATCTTCGATGTATTTTTCCCACATGTCTCCTACTTCTTCTGGACTAGATACTATTTCGTTGTTATCATCTACTAAAGTTGTTGTAGTGATTTTTTTCTTCATATTTGTGACTTCCTTAATCTTTTTGTAGGCATTAAAGTAGTCATGCTTTTTTAGTAAATGTCCCAGTTCCTCACACTTGCTGCTCATCCATTCTTCTTTGGCTTTCCTAATTTTGTTTCGGATGATTCTCTGGGTTTCTTTATATTTTTCTACATTACGATTTTTGTAAGATCGCCTTATGTCCATCAGTTCTAGGATTTCTTCTGTCATCCATGTATTCTTTGTTTTTCTGGTGCTGTCTTGTAGTTGTTCTCTTTGTATAGTTGTCATCGTTGTTTTGAAGGTGTGCCAAATACTTTCTATTGTCTCTTCTGCTTCCGCGGGGGTTTCACTGAACTTTTCTTTGAGTGTATCATTGAGTTTTTTCTCTATTTCTGCCTGTACTATTGGGTCTTTAAGTTTTTCTAGGTTAGGTTTTATATTCTTTCTGTATTTGATTTTTTTTAGTCTAATTAAAATTTTACCAACAACAGGATTGTGGTCGGAACCGATGTCCGCCCCGGGATATGTTTTAACTCCCTTGATTCCATTTCTATAACGTTTCTCAATTAATATATAGTCAATCTGGTTTCTTATTATGCGGTTTCGATTATCGCCAGGTGCTTTCCATGTATATAACCTTCTTTTGGGTTGTTTAAACCAGGTGTTTGCGATCATTAGATTTTCTTCTTGGCAAAATTGGACCAGTATTTCTCCTCTATCATTTCTTTGGCCCAAACCAAAGTTTCCTACTACGTCTTCGGTCCGCCCTTCACCTACTTTGGCATTAAAATCTCCCATAATAATGTTTACAGCATTTTTCTTTGTGATCTTCATTAGCTGCTTGATCTCTTGGTAGAATTCTCGTACTTCTCTTTCTGGTTTTTCTGCTGTAGGAGCATACACTTGAATAAGGTTAATATTACGAGGAGTGGTATTAATTTGCAGCATAGCTACTCTATCAGATATAGGTATAAAGTTCTTTATACATTTACTGCTTTTCTGGTCAACTATAAATGCCACTCCGTTATAATGATGAGGATCGTCGTTACCAGCATAGTATATCACATGGTTATCGATGTTTGTCTGTCCAGATCCAGGCCATCTAACTTCACTGACTCCGAGAATGTTGACTCCCATTCTTTTCATTTCTTTCACGATGTTATGAGATTTTCCTGGCATATAGAGAGATTTTGCATTCCAGGTTCCAATTTTTAACTTGTAATTTTTGTTTTCCACTTTCGGGTGGTTCCTAGCATTTGTCGTGGGGATTCTTAGCACCCCTTGACCATCTAAGGTCTGCCACGGACTAGGGGCCTTTTGTTTTCCGTAACTTGCCATAGTTATAATATCTTGAGAATTTAGTGTGTTGGTTTCTCCTTGCCTTACACACCGCAGTATTATAACCGATTAAACCAATATCTGATTGTCGCCCATAATTATCTGCTTCCAAACCTGTTAAGAAGTCATTCTTCCCCAGCCTTGGAGTTAGTAATGACATAGCTGTTAACAAAATTGTTAATAATTTGATAAATTGCCCTGAACTTTTAAATCAATTAGGTCTTAACACTCTTCATGGAACTAGGCATACTTCATTATTTCATCTACCATTTCATCAATTTAATTATGAATACTTCAAGCCTCTTACTCATATGGTGAGACTATATAATAGGTACCAAAGTGATCTGGACTTATTTTTCCAGTCCTTAGAACAATTTAAAAATGTGATAAACAGATTGCTATTTGTGTGATATTAGTTTGTATTCAAGTTAATTATTAGTTTTTGTTAAACTTACTAATTATTTTCCAATGTTATGCTTACTTTGTAAAATTTTATATATTATATATTGTTCCAATGTAAAGGGTATATCCGTTAATAAATAAATAATAAATAATAAGATGAAAATGCCTCCGTGACAGGCGAGCGTGATACAGTAACAAATGAAGTTATGGCTGAATCAACTATTTTGTTTTTGTTGCCTAAAGATGACATAAACGAATGATTAATTTGTGATGGGGACGCAAGAGGCTATTGATTGCTGATGGATGATGAAATCTTTGAAATGGCAACAGAGGAGGAAGAAACTGATTCAGAAGCTGACACAAACTTTGATGATGGCGATATTGATGATACTATTGCAACTCACAAAGATTTGCGTAAAGAAACTAGAGAAGCTACATCACACATACAACAATTCATCAATCGGTATTGTAGGCAAGAAGAAACACATAAGGTAGATTTGATGATTTTATGTTGATTAAAAATTCAGCTGTTGCAAAATGTTAAGTAGGTGCTTAACAATAAAATGAATGCAGATTTCAGAATATTCTAAATCAAATTGATTTGACTGTACAAACATAAATCCCTCTTATATTGTCAAATAAAACATACAAATAAAAATTTGAGAGTTATATATGAATTTTTATTTTTTTTAATGTTCTGTTAACTGTCTTTTCGATTATCTGTCATACCCTTGGTCCGGTGCCCTAACTGGATAATCGAGGTTCCACCGCACTTCATGTATGGCCTATATTGAAGAGTTTTTACAAAAAATTTCAAAATAGATGATTTTTTGTGTGTATATCTAGAAAACCTAAAAGGTTATAGGTCTATCATCTACACAATTCCCTATACTGTGGGTTTTATATTTTGTTTAAAAATTATATTTGTGTTGAGGGTCTTTAAAAACATATTGGTTAATAATGAAGACAAAAAAAGAAGCCTTTTCTACATTTGGCTACATGAGACATTTGGTCACAAACTTGTGTATTTCCTTAATGTTGTTATATCAGATCACATTCCTCATGTTTTCAGATTTTTATGATTGTTTACCCAGTCATTTTGTCCTTTATGGACAAAAAATTTACTAAATAATTTATCAATCTCTTTGTGTAACCTGTTCTATTTCATTTAACTTGTAGTTTTCATAACAAAGACGTCTTTTATTGTACCATTTATTCATATTATTTCAAAATCTGTAAAAACTCTCATTTATTTAGAAGTTGGAGATACTTTTTCGTTGTCAGGACTTATTTTTTGGATCTTTGTTTAATATATTTTATCTTTGTCATATTATACATAAAATATATTGTGTAATAGCTTATAAATGTCTCTTTACATACTAAAACAAGCAAATTCTAGTTACCTTGTAGGTACTAGTATCTGTTAATGGTACCTATTTTTCAAATAAAAGTCCATCATGTCCCACTTTACTTAAATCTCTCTAAATTCAAAAATACTGATAGCAAAATGTTTTCATAACAAAGACTAGTACAGAAATTGTCTTGCCTTTAAACCTACTCTTTTATAAGACATATCTACTACTATACACAAAGAAAATATCATTTATACAGTTTCCAGTCAAATTTAATTAGATAAACTTGATTTTTGGACAGTATGTGTACATTGAAACCTATATTACTGGATTTTAAGTAAATAAGTATGACATTACACAAAATTCTGTTTTGCACCTTATATTCTACATTAAATTACTATTTTTAAGTTATCAATTGATAGGGTCTTAATATATATCATCACTGGTCAAATTTTAGCAAATTAAACTGCCATTTTTGTTTGATAAGACAATACTAATCAAATCATTTTAGTTGTTTTCAACTGAAATAATCAAGGTAATGTTGTAATTTAATTAATAAGTGCAAACTCTAATTACTTAACCATTTTATTAATTATTAAAATAATACTTACAGCATCTTCGCCTCCAATGTTACGTTTTCTTAGTTCTTCCGACATCGTTTAGGTAAATTAATGAGTTACCTTAGCAAATAAAATGCTTATTTCATCCAGGTCCTTTATTTACGCACAAACAATGCTTGATTTGTAAATCTAATTTAGTAAATTGTGTTTATATACAAAATCAATAACACAATTCAGGCTGGAAACTTTACGCCATCTATGAAGTTTCACAATCACAGAGTTTATAGTTTTAAAACTGGAATTTTAAATTAATTATTGAAAGGTACTTAGACAAGACTTTGCGAATTCTAGTAATTATATTCACCGAAATTATAACTTTACAAGAAATAAACTTCTGTAAGTTATTTTTTAAAATGACCGGACTGACACTGCTTTCTGTCACAATGACATTGACGTATAAATAATTGACAAATTTGTCAAAAAGAGTGAATATTTTGACTTCCGCAGTTCCTTCAGTTAACGGGTTGATAATATTTGTTACTGTTCTATATAAATCAGTTACCTAAGTTTATTATTAATAAGAAAGTGTCTAATGAAAAGAAAAGCTGTACATTTAAAAAAATCTATAATAAATTAACACACTTTTTCCTAGTGTTAGGCAACCATTATTGCTTGTTGTTGACTTAAATTATCTTTTTGGCTCATAAAAAAAGGACAAAAGAAAACACAAACATTTTAAATATAAAGATCCCTATTTTTGATACGTATATATAGTTATTTAATGATAACAAGACAATTTTTTAAAAATGCAAAGAGATATAAAAATAATTTAACACAAGGTATATATGGAAAAATCTTAGATACTAAAAGATTATTAAAATAAACAAAAATGTAGAAAAAGTAGAGGAATATACAAAATCTGTATTTGTTTCCATTAAAACATGTGCTTGTATGACTTGTTATATTGGTTGCATAACATAAGGATAATATTGTAGAAGTATTATGTATAGAAGTCTGATTTGTTCATGTATTTTTAAATAAATAATCACTTTTTTCATAATAATGAAATGGGGAGAATAAAATGACTTAAATTACGTATGTAGTCTGATGGATTGATTAATAATAAATTAAATTGATCTGAAATTCTGTATCCAACCAAATTGCAGCTTAACTTAACTGTTGTCGTCTGTCAATTTAAATGTCAACAATTGTGGGGGTATTGTCACAAAAGACAGTACTCAAAAACAAATGTTATAGTCGCGAATTGCTTCATTACTTTAATTGTTTAGTACTTATCGTGATATAAAAATGTATTTTGTACTTAATATTACCGCGTCCGTAGTGACACTTTAAAATTATTTCCTTCATCTGAATTGAAAGTGAATATCAACTCATACAACATTTGATCATTTAATCCAACAAAAATGCCTCAACAGTTCATTAAAGTGAAGGAAAATCCTGGAACGATACCAAAAGCGGAGTTTAACAATCCTGTAAAGAGTCAAGACTGGGATTCAAATTCGAATCTGTCCAATTCCGTGGGGGATATTTGCAGAATATGCCATTGTGAGGCAGATGCAGATAATCCTCTTTTGTCTCCCTGTTACTGTTCAGGAAGTTTGAAATATGTGCATCAGACCTGCCTGCGACAATGGTTGGCTGCTTCAGATACACGTTCTTGTGAGTTATGCAAGTTTAACTTCATCCTACATACCAAAATCAAACCTTTTTCTGAGGTAAGTCTTTCATGTTTGCACCTTTTGCTTTCTTCCGTTTGTTGGATTTTTATTGAGCATATTCGTTAATAAATTAAGTTATTTTCTTGTTTTATTAGTGCAATTATAAGGTACAATATACCTTAAGCACCTACTTGTTGATTCCTAATCTTGTCATTAGTTTCTTAATGGTCTTAGTACATTTTTCTTATCTGGAAATGGTTTTTAATGTTGTTAAACACCTTTTAAAAACTTTGTTGATATTGTGCTACACAGCAAATGTGTGATTTTTGAAACAACAGAATTCTCAGTTTTTTGAGAAAAAAAGGACAATATTGATGTTGAGCCCTTATTAAAAACTTACTTATTATAATTATAAACAACAGTACAGTACTATTGCAATGATAATTATTGGTAAATGTCTTGTTTCTTTAGTTTGCTGCATCAGAATTTCTTCTAAAACATGAATTTTTTGTACAGCAATCTCATATTTAGTCAGTGGTACCTGTTTTTATGCTTTTTTCTTTACTATTAGTTATAATGAAATCTAGCTGTGAAAATTTGTATAAAAAGTTAATAAAAGCACAACTTATTACATATTTATATATATTATTACATATTTAATTGTCAAGGGCATTGAAAATTTATCTAAAAAGTCAATTACAATATTAGAAACACATTTTTTCCAATGAGATCCAATAAGATGGCTTTTGGAATATTCCACTGCAACCTTTTTAGATCTACTGTGGTTTTTTTATTCCTAGATTACATTCTCCAATCTTTCTAATATATTTTTCTTTTCATTTGATGTTCATATTCTTTCTGAATTTTAAGAATTAATTCTTTCCTTACCTACATTTTTCAGTGTGTAATAGTAGTAGAATTTAGAATTATGTCTTCCATACTGTAAGATATTTTATAATGACATTCCTGCCATCAAATTCTGATTTAAAATGTAGACAATTATTTACATTCTGAATCTCTAAAATCAAAATTTGTCTCACAGTCAGACATTATTAGTGCCTACTTATTCCATCCTGTATATTAACATTTATAACATGATTGTTTTTATATGCAATCCCCTAATGCCCCTGATTATTTTTTTAACATTGATTGCAGTTATAAGTTGTTTCATTGTCTAATTCCTAATAAAATAACATTTGTTTTTGTTTTTGACCATGGACTATGTTTATTTTCATTCTGTTTGTTTTGATAATTTTGGCTGACTAAAGGTGACTCTTTTGTATTAATCATTGTCTACTAATGTATTACTTTCTGTTTCTTTCCTACTTCATAATAAAGATATTTTACATGATTTTAATTACTAAACCTACATCATTAATATCTTTAATGAAAATTAACCACAAATTGTTGTCAATTCCCAATAAAGATAATAAATAAAATTATAATGCCACCAGAAAATTGCTTCCCAAAAAATATTACCTATATCTAATAGAAATTTATCCATTTGTTCTTTAAAATGATCCCAAGTACCTGGCCTCACATAAAAGTTAAGCTAGAGACAATAGAAAAAGGTTTTCAAAGCTTTAAATTACTTGGAACATAGATAAACTCAAGTTTACTTAGCCCCCAAATACTGAGAATTTGTAAAGTTCTAATATATTAATGGTTTCTCTTGAAAAATGTTTAGTTTTATATACAAAACAAGTACTTAAGGATTTTTGGTTTAGTTGGTGCAATTTTATTAGTATTTGACTAAATAACTTTTTAACACAATGTATGCAAGATTTCATGTTTTTGAAAAGAAATTTATACTTTAGACACAATTTTAGATCTTAATTTGAAAATAAATGTTTACGGAAACACTAAAGAAAAACTACTACTCTGCTAGTTAATATGAATTCTTCCTCATTTTTACTCTCTACAAGAAATTGTCTTTTCATTTGTAGATTTATACCTGTGTCTTTTAATCTTACAGAATATGTGACTTCTCATTCAACTTTGGTTATCAATTTTTAAATTTATACCTCTATGTCCAATACCAAGTGGAATAAAATACACCTAAGTACTTCTTTACTGCCCTTGATTGGAATATCCTTAGATGTCTGAGAAGAAAATAAACACTTACTTATGTTACCTGTTAATATTTTTCTTGTGTAAGGTCACCTTACATCAATAACTTCCAATATGTTAAGGCTATTTTATCAGTGCACCAAAACCTAGGGACAGTGTTTTCTCTGTTATTTACCGACAAAATGTGTCGAAATTTGGACAAGTTATTTGAAATTATGTTGCATTTAAAATGATGGTTTTACTTTTTTATTTTTTTGTAACTACAGTCAAAATCGTTTACAACGACACCGGCTATAACGTACAATCGGATATAACAAACAAAATAGTAGGTCCCATAAAATGACATACAAAAAACGCATTTATATTGCTTATAATGAACAAATCGGTTAGAGCAAACGTATTTCTTGGAACACTAGTAGTTAAAATATTGGTTACAGCGTACATCTTAATAAATAAGTTTAAAAGTGCTATCCTGTAAAGTTATGAAAATGGACATTGTAGTGTTGTATTTCTCACAGGTATTACCGATATTTAATACCACGAAATGAGAAGTAAGGATTTATTAATTTATGGTTATAGTACATCCGGACAGGCATCTACTGTCCTTTAGACAGTTAGACCTCCCAAGACGGGTCCATTGTATTACAAAATTTTGTTTATACATATTTCACCATTTGGCCTAAGCCAAGAGTTTCTGAATTTGAATTCAGTTGTGTCTAGCCTTCATTGAAAAAATGTCACGGAAACAATTTACTATTGAGGAACAGTTTGGAATAATTTGCCGAGTCGATTCCGGTGATTCCGCGAGTTCGATTGCCCGGGAATTTAAAACGTCACGCTCGACAATTGCTGGAATAATGAAAAGGCGAGAGAAAATTATTAAGCAATTTAATAAGTGTGAAAAAGGAAAACGCGTTCGGTCATCAAATTACAGTGACATTGAAAGTGCTTTGCTCGATTGGTTTAAACAACAACGCGCAAACAATGTACCCGTGAGTGGGCCGATGCTTCAGGTAAAGGCTGATGCTTTCGCTGTGATTTTGAAGAAGAATTTTAAGTGTAATGCTTCCTGGGTTCAACGTTTTCGAGCTCGCCACAATATTGTCCATGGAAAAATTTCAGGTGAGTCAGCAGTTGTTGACAGATCAATTATAAATGACTGGGTTGAAAATGTGTGGCCTACACTCAGGTCCGACTATAGCGATGATGAAATTTTTAATGCTGACGAGATGGGGTTATTTTTTAGACTGACACCTGATCACACGTTAAAGTTTAAAGGCGAGAAATGTTCCGGTGGTAAACTCTCAAAAGAGCGTGTTACAGTTCTTGTTGCAGCCAACATGTCCGGTTCCATAAAAAGGAAGCTTTTGGTGATAGGAAAAAGTAAAATGCCGCGCTGTTTTAAAAACGTGAAAAATCTCCCTGTTGATTATGATTTCAATAAAAAAGCCTGGATGACGTCAGCTATTTTTGAAAAGACTTTACTAAAATGGGACAGTGAACTTTTACAACAAAAGAAACACATAATTTTAATTGTCGACAACTGTCCGTCCCACCCCCCAGTTGACAGGTTAAAACAAATTAAACTCGTTTTTCTGCCTCCAAATTGTACGTCTGTACTGCAGCCCATGGACCAAGGAGTTATAAGAAGTCTTAAAGCATGCTTTCGGAAAGAATTGGTGTACAAAATCATCGAAAAGAGAGAGAATAACGACGATACGAAAGTCAGTATTCTTGACGCTGTACTAATGATATCAAAGGCATGGGAATCTGTGCGGAAGGAAACGATCATCAACTGTTTTCGTTTTTCCGGCCTAACTAAAGACTTACAACCATCAGGAATCGCATACAACGATATTGCACAAACGCATTTGCAGGATGCCATTTCCCTTTTCAGTTCTGACTGCTCTGCAGATGACTATGTACGAGTGGATGACGAAATAAGTACGAGCGAAGAACTCTCAGATATTGACATCGTACTGAGTCACCAAACTAGTGACAAACAAAGTACTGATGAGGCTGATGAAGAATTGGAAGATTTCGGCAAAATCCCTACTGTTGCTGAAGCGTATGCTGCTTGTTCCACCATACGAGCATTTATTCAGACTGCTGAAACTTCCCAGAGTGTAAAAGAATCATTATCGATTGTTTCCACATCAATTGAAAAAATGTTTTTTTTCAGAAGTTCAAGGAAGGCGACAAACAAAAATTACAGACTTTTTTCATTAAATATTCAGGTAAAATGTGTTTACATATTTTGCTATACATATATGTATGTATTTTTTTTGTCTTTTTAAAATAAATAGTATATGTATGCCTACATTTTTATAATACGAAGATTTGGAGAAGCCGTTATTATGTGTATACTTTATTCACAACTTATACTTATTTCAATACATATTATACATATATGTGTGTACATATTTAGATTTGCTTAAGTACAATAAACACATATGTTAAATGTTATGTATGTTGTTATGTATGTGTAAATGTTATGTATGTGTTACTTTAACTATACTTATAATATGTTATTATAACATATTATAAGTATAGTTAAAGTAACACATTTTTGCGTCATAACCCTAGGTACAACGAACTAACTGTCCCTATTAGTGTAATATCGTTTATACCAACCTGTTCATTATAACCGATAGAACTGCTTACAGAGAACACTGGCTACAACGTACAAAAAGCTCAGTCCCCTGAAGTTCGTTATAAACGATTTTGACTGTATTGTTGAAAAATTGGATTATACTGTTTAACGTTCTATTATAACCAAACTTTTTAGGCCCATCACTTGAAAGAGTTTTTTTTCTGTAATCGATTTTTTTTTCACCTTTCTGTGTCCAGTAATAATCGAGAAAAATGTTTTCCAACTTTGAAGAAAATTGCTAAAAAATACTAAAATCTAATAGTGAAACGTGTTACTCATTATTGGCGCTTAGTTTCATCGTTATCGCCTTCGTGACGTCAAATCTCATGAACCT